AAATAAAACAGACTGAGTAAGTAGCTCCCCTCCATGGCCTCTGCATCAGCTCCTACCTCCAGGTTCCTGTCTTGTTTGAGTTCCTGTCCTGACTTCCTTCAGTGATGGACTATGATATGGAAGTGTAAGCCAAATAAACCCTTTCCTCCACAACTTGCTTTGGTCATGTGTTTCATCACAATAATAGTAACACTGACTGAGACAAGTTTCAACCCATTTCCTTTCTCCAGTGATGAAGCCAGTTTTTCAGGGTTTTTTTTTAAAGTGTACTTGTGTAAGTATTCCTAATGAGGTGTATATGTGTCTGCTCTTTGGATTTTCCTTTTAACCAATTGTATTATATCTTACTAGTACCCTCATGAACTAATGAATTAAGTAAATATTTGACCTCTGTTTATTTTACATCTATAGAAAATAATTTTTCCTTTAAAAAATATACTCTGGCCTGTTGAGAAGGCAGGAGAAGCGTTGGAAGATGGAGTATTGATGTGCTTTGAAAATACAGTCATGAGGACATGGTGTGCTGGCAGCAGAGGAGGGACCGGAGCAGCAGAGGGGTGACAGCTTCCTACTGCTGTGACAAATAACAGATGAACTGGAAGAAGGAAGGTCCTGGGGTCTCTGTCTGAGGGTGTGCAGTGTTTGAATGAGAACTGTCTCTGTCTGAGGGTGTGCAGTGTTTGAATGAGAACGGTCTCTATCTGAGGGTGTGCAGTGTTTGAATGAGAACGGTCTCTGAGGGTGTGCAGTGTTTGAATGAGAACCGTCTCCCATCGGTTCATGCACTTGAACACTTGGCTCTCAGTGGGCAGTGTTGTTTGGGGAGGTTACAGGAAAGAGCAGCACTGAGGGAACTGCAGTATTGGGGGTGGATTTTAAGTATTTGCAGCCTCTCCCCACCCCCAGTTCTCTCTCTCTCTCTGCTTTGTAGCTGAAGATGTCATCTCTCAGCTTCCTGCTCCTCCAGCCAAACCTGCCACTTGCCACCACATCTCCCCACCATGGTGGACTCTTAGGCCTTTGGAGCCCTAAGCCAAAAGAAGGTCTTTCTTCCATAATCTGCTTTTGTTCGTAGTGTTTTGTCACAGCAACAGAAAAGTGACTGATACATACTGGATGACTCCATTGCTTCTGGGTTTATGGCAAAGCAGCAGCTCCTCACAGAAGGAGCATGTGGTAGCAGCAATTGCTCACTTCAGGACAGCTAAGAGGCAAAAAGAGAAGCAGAAAGAGGTCAGGGTCCCAGTACCTCCTTTAAGAGATTTCAGAGGTCTTGTAGTGTATTCATTATCCTCCAAGCAAGATCAGATCAGCTGTACCTGCTTTCAAAAGACCATCACATTAGGTTATCAACTGTTGATATTACCTCACAGAAGAAGGAGGTAGAAAGGATCCTTGGACCCTCGCCTGATGTTCCATCCATGCCTCCAAGCCATTTGTATGTAATTCTGCCCTAATTTCATGTGAGCTCAGGGATTCCAAAGGTGTTGGAGAATACTTGCTGGGGGAGGTTAACTGAAAAGGGCCTGTGGCTATGGGGAAGCCATGGTCCACACTGTGTGAAGACTTCCCATTAAACCAGGATCCTGCCAGTAATCCCTGAACCGTAATCTGTATGTAAACCCAACAACCCCATTGGTTCTCCTGGGTAAACATTAGTGGCAGGGTGCTTTGGTTGACCTTATCAGGAGAGGGAGCTGTTGTTTCTGTTTCCCCAGGGAAGGAATCCTCCAAACATCCTTCCATCCTGGCTTCCTTCCACGGAACCCCACCCTTAAGGTTCCACCACTTCCAAAAAGCACCACTGACTTGAGACCAGGTCTCCAACACAAGAGGCCTTGGAGAACATTCTAGATCCGAAGAGTCACAGGAGGTGAAGCTCAGAATGGCAGAGGCTAGGTCAAGACAACCCTGTGATATAACAGCAGTGAAACCCACATCGTCTGAACAGCTGTGCCATACTTTCCTGTAGAGAAGTTACTGTAACTGTTCATTGTACTTGGGATCCGCTGGCTGATGGCAAGGCCTGGTTGTCACAGCCTAAGGCTAACACTCAAGGAGGACAGAGGAAAACTGGGATGTAATGTGCAATTGGAGATTCATATGGCAGAGCCAGTAAGGAGCCTCAGTGATGGAGTAGCCAAAGAGCAGCTCAAAAAAGGGATACCTGCCGCTCAGCATGAAGCCACTGTACTGACGCAACATAAACCCTCCCAGAACCAGCTCATTGATTATATGGGGAAATTCTCTAGGATTGAATATCTGTTGGTAAAGGAGCTTAACAAAGAACAGGTGTTCCCATCTGAGTTACTACAGAGGTAGCCCACTAAATCCAGCACCCAAAGTTGGGGCACTAATGTAAAAGAGGCTCCCTACAGAGGGGAGTGTAGACTTCCTAGGTCTTGAGGTGACCTAAATCAGCTCTCAATAGGTAACTGATCCACAGCACAACTCATGGGTGGTACAAACTAAGTGGGAAGATTTTTGACTTGATCTTGGGAATGGCAGAAAGCCACAGAGATGACTGGGGTGCAAAGACCGCCATGTTCAGAGATTAGAAGAAATGACAGTTCTGTCCCTTTTATTAAAGGTGTTTGAAATCTAAAATTCTTAAGTTATACTACAGATAAGTTTCTTTTTAATTAAGTTGGGGGTCAACCTATCAGAAAGATACTTTTAAATTCAAGTTCAAGCATTAAGCTAGAAAGCTACAGCCACTAGATGATCATTGATCATCCTGCTAATACTCATTGCTGGATAGTCTGGAAAGGAAACCCCAGAAGGAGAGGAAAGTGCATTAGAGAGAATGTACCAAAGTGCTAGCATGATTCAAGAAACAAGAAAATATTGAAGCTTCAGAGAGCCAGTAATAAAGGAACACGATGTGGAGGAAGGCAAGCCCAGCACTCAGCATTAACACGACGTGGACACCTGTGACTAAGCCCTCTCCCCACTCTCAAGGCTCTATGTACCACACATCTCCCTGCAAGTGAAATGCTGTTCCCAGGCTCTTTTCCTGGAGCTTTGCCAAGTCATCTGACCAGCTTCTCCCTGTGCTCTGGTCCCTGGACACAGGAAGGCCAAAGACAGAATTAAGAAATAGGGCTTATGAGCCAACGTGAAACAAGGAAAGGCACAAACAATTAAGGGGTTGTTTGAGCAGGGTTCCATGGAGTGCGAAGGCCATGAGATAGACTTGAAGCAGTTGTTGTTTGGGTAGCTAATATTTCATAGACACTTACTGTCTTAGTTAAGGTTTCTATTGCTGTAAAGAGACGCCATCACCATGGCAACTCTTAACCAAAATGTAGGGAAGGGAGCACAGTGAGGAAATACTGGATGAAAGCAAGACCAAAAACCAGTTGGGCAAACTCCAAACTCTGCATCTCCATGTCAGATGTACTTTTATCTCTTGGTCTGTTTCCACTCCCTGTTAGCAGCTCTCCTGGGCAGGTATCCCATGACTCTGGCATCTGTAATATCTTGGGGTCTCCAAGGCAACCCAGGCTTCAACTTCACAGCTTCACACAACGGCCTCTCTAGGCCTCCATTTAAGGACACCCCTGACACATGCCTGGCCTCAGTGGCTTTCCTTAGTCTCAGGGGCAAATTCCATAGCCCCTTTCTTCTATCCTTAACTCCAGAACCATGTAGCTGAAGCTGCCAAGTTCCGCTGCTTACTGCAGCTGAAATGTGACCCCCTTGTTCAATTACGTCTTCACTAACTTTCTGGTTTTGATGGTTTCCTTCGCTGCCTAAGCTTGGCTGTTCTGTAACTTGCTCTGTAGACTAGACTGGCCTCAAACTCAGAGATCCACCAGCCTCTGCCTTCCCAGTGCTTGTATTAAAGGCATGTACCACCATATCCAGCTCTAAGCTTTTCTTTAATTCTTTTTCACAAATTAGAAACTTAGCTGGGTGGGAGCTTGTCCTGAGGTCACCACTCCCTTTATTCCATTTCTTAATCTGTTTATCTCCTTGAACACAGGATTTAGCTCTGTTACACTTTCTGGTCTCTTTTTCTCCTAAAATATTTTTCCTTGCTCAGCTTGCTCCTTTTTATTATAAATCTTCATTAGAGTTAACACTAGAGACACACAACAGAGTCTATACTAGGCTGTTTTAAGAATTCTTCCAACAATAGAATTAACACAAAACTCTTCACTTTGGCCTCCGACATACTTTTCAGACAAGAGCAAAAAGTAGTCACATTCTTGGACAAAATATCACAAGAATGATCTCTAGGAAACATATTAATATTCTTCTCCTCTGAAACCTCTTGAGCTAGCACCAACAGTTCAAATCATTATCAGCACCATTGTCTTCCATGTTCCTACTAGTGTGGCCCATCAAGCAGTGCTTAAAGCATTCTACTGCTTTCCTAACCCAAAGTACCAAAGTCCAAATTCCTCCAAAGAAAAACATAGTCAGGTCTATCACAGCAATCCCCCAGTCCCTGGTACCAACTTCTGTCTTAGTTAGGTTTCTATTGCTGTGAAGAGACACCATGACCACAGAAACTCTTATAAAGGAAAACATTTAATTGAGGTGGTGGCTTACAGATTAGAGGTTCAGTCCTTTATCATCATGGCAGGGAGAATGGCAGTGTGCAGGCAGATATGGTGCTAGAGGACATGAGAGTCCTACATCTTGCAGGCAACAGGAAATAGACTTAGCATTACACTGAGAGAAGCTTGAGCAAGAGACTTCCAAGCCCAACCCCAAAGTGACACGCTTCCCCCAATAAGGCCACACCTCCTAATAGTGCCACTCCCTATAGGCTTATGAGAACCAATTACATTCAAACTACCACACTTACATACGTGACCCTGGAAATGTACTAAATCTGCACAACAATCTAGTCATTAACTCCATTTTACAGAAGAGGAAACAGAGGTATAGACAATTTACTAGTCCATGGCCAGTCACAGTACTTTCCTAATTAAAGTCCAAGAGGCCCCAGACATGATAAGGCAATGTCTAGATCATCTCCAACTAAGCATTAGAAATCATCACCATCATCATTGTCATCACCATCATCATCATTTTGCTCATCATGGTTATCATCATCGTCACCATCACCATCATTTTGGTCATCATGGTTATCATCATCATCACCATCATCATCATTATGGTCATCATTATCATGATTATCAGAGCCATCTTTGTGGTAATCATCATCATCATCATCATCATCATCATCATCATCATCATCTTCGTCACCTATACAGCTCCTGGCACATAACAGGCACTATTGTTCTATTGTATCAAATATTCACAATTACCTTTTGCACCATATGTGCACATTTTTGGGGGATTGGAATGTGAAATTGATTCTTTTTTAGATAATAGGCTTGTTTTATTTTGTTTTGTTTTGTTCCATTTGTGTTGCTTTGTTTTTTGAGATAGTTTCACTGTGTAGCTCAGGCTGACCTAGAAATCTCTATGTATCTCAGTCTGGCATCTGAGTCTTGATCCTTCTTGTAGGGTTCTATTGCTATGAAGAGACACACTGACGATGGCAACTCTTATAAACAGCTCAGAAGTTCAGCCCATTATCATCATGGTGGGACATAGCAGCATGCAGGCAGACATGGTGCTGGACAGGAAGATGAGAGTCCTACCTCTTTCCCAGCCAACACGAGTTGAACTCAGATATGAGACCTCAGAGCCTGCCCCCACAGTGACACACTTCCTCCAACAAGGCCACACCTACTTCAACAAGGCCACACCTCCCACTAGTGCCACTCTCTTTGGGGGCCATTTTCTTTCAAACCACCACAGTCCTCTTGCCTTAGTCTCTAGTGCTGGGATTAACATGTACACATCACTGCACTCACTCATTATAAACTTTCTTCTTTACAGGTATTTTAATGCTCTGGTTTCTCTTCAGATCATGTAAATCTTTCACCTTTTGCAGATGTTTTACGTTTATAAAAAAATTGTGTATACAGATAGGTCCCACATTCCTTCCTTTACTACTTGCAATCTTACTGCCCACACTGGTTCCCTGGTTATTAACATTTTGCACTGGAGTTGTGTTTTTGTGATCACTAATGACCCAATATTGATTTTTCTCCCCACAGCACAGAGGATGGTGGCCAGGACCTCGTGTGTGTTAGGTATGTGCTCTACCACTGAGTTTTAGCCCTGACCTACTATTGATATACTAGTAACTAAATTCCATAATATACATTGTTCTAGAATTTTAACAAGTGGGTATGTATCTACCATTACAGCATCACATAAAATAGTTTCCCCACTTCTGTAACTCCCGTACCCATCCATCCCTCTCCTCAAGTCCTTGGCAACCAGTGATCTCCTTTGCTTTCTTTAGTTTGCCTTTTCTGGAATGTCAAGTGGCTGAAATTATGAATAGGCGCCTTTTACCTTTCACTTAGCGATCTGCACTTACGATTCCCTTATGTCTTTTGTGGATTAAATTCTTTGTATGGGTACACAAACTTGTTAACACATTCACCTATTGCAGGACATATCAGCTGCTTCCAAGTCTTGGTAATTATGACTTAACCTATTATAAACATAAGTGCACGAGTGTTTTAATGGAGATGCTTTCAACTCATTTGAGTACAGACTAAAGACCACAACTGCTAGATCTGTTTATTTTTACAACAAACTATCAAACTGTCTTCCAAAATGGCTACACTGTTTTGCCTTCTCTCCAGCTATGAATAAGAGTTATGTTCTCTACACCTACACCACTACCCTGGCTTTCTGCTATTCTAACAGATGTGAGCATCTCTTCATTGTTTTAGTTTGGAATTCTCTGAGGGAAAATGACACATAGCGTCTGCATATAGGCTTGCATACCATTGGTCCAGATCTGTTGCCCAGTTTAATTGAGTTAACCATCTCATTCTTCAAGGAGGTAAGTGCTGCAAGCTGTAAAAATATATACAGTAGGATTTCAACTGATTATGACAAAGCTAATTCCTGGAAGAAGCCAAAGGCCCTCCAGAGATCAAGCCAATGCTTAAGGAGCCTTGGTGATATTTGGCTTTCGATTATTAGCCGTTTCCTGCTATGAGTTTCTTGTGTGCTATTGTAGCTTTTCCATCATTCATTGGGCACCATTTCCCCTCTACTAAAGGAATATTTAGATAACCTTGTGCGCTGACAGCTATGCACAGCCAGAACCCCAGTTCAAGCCTCCCTGAAATTATCGTCATTAGCAACATCCAGCCAGGTCCATCCCCAGATGGAGGAAAGTACATTATCAGAGATACCTCTGTACTCTCTAAGAACAGACTTAAGCATCCAGACTACCTGTTTGAGAAGGCCTGGCAGATGTGCTACTTAAGCTTAACTTTCTCCTTTCCAAAGTCTTATCTCTAGTTTTAGATCCACCCTTAACAATTAACTCAGAATTAAGAGTTCCAACTTACAGGTACGTCTAGCTGTGATGGAAGTTGCCTGGCCAAGTTGCTCAGTGACCAAGCACACTCGCCAGAAATGGTGGGAGCAGAGATAGCTTGGAGAGATAAGGGTCAAAGCAATAAAAAAGGCAGTTTTATTTTCAGAGAACGACTAGACAGAGAAGAGAGAAGAGAATGGGAGAACTAGATGGAGAACTTGAGGATGAGATGGAAGATGAGGAAGAGCCAGATGGGGAAGTACTAGCTGGGCAAGAAAGAGATGAGAAGAACCTAGATGAGGCAGAACTAAGGTGAGAGAATTAAGATAGAACTTAGAGGGGACAGTACATAAATATAGAGAGAAATCAGGCAAGAAAGGAGCTAGGCGTGAGAACAGAACTGAAGCTGTGTAGATGGGATTTTATCCCAGAGGAATAAAGTTCACGGACAAAGGGCTTGATGTACTTAGATTCATTTCCCGAAAATAATTCTCACCGTTTGTAGTTTCTCTTCTGGGAAGAATATTATTAAGGCTGGTCTTTTATTAATATACAAGAGGTAAGCAAGGCATAGAGGAGCTCCACAGTGTCCTCAAGACCCACTTTAGTCTGAGCTCGGGCAGGAGGCCCATAGTCTATATTCCTACACTGTGCTGTGCTGCCTTCAGGAGGCATTTGTCAGCTAGCACTCCTGCGTCCCAGTGCTGCTCTGCAATTTACGAGGTGGTCTAGCCTTTGCTCAGTTAATTAGTCTCTCCTCTGCAGTGTGAAGATAACAGGCCTCATAAGCCAAGGCAGAGAAAATGCTGGATTTGTTCTCTGCACATGGCACCCATGCAGAAATGATAGCTGTTATCAGACCAATGCCATATGAAAGAATAAGAAAGGGCTGTGGTAGCTGTAAGCATAAGCTCCTGCCTGGAAACTAGAATAGATTAGAACAGTCTGACCCTTTGAACTCTGAGGGCACTCAGACGTCCTCGGTGAGGTGTTTATAATCAGCTGCCAGCTGAGACCTGAGCTCCTCATCTGGTACACATGAATGACTAGGGAGTTCTAGTTCTGAAACATATGAACAGAACTTGCTGTCCTCAGTTTCCCTTTGTTGTTCATCTTACCATTCCTGCTATCCCCGGAAGAAAGTCACAGTTCCATTAACCTTGCAATTCATGAAGCAAATCTGCAACCAGACATGCACTTCTTGCATCTCTGGAAACTCTAGTGGCAACAGAGAGAAATCATCCAAGCAATTCCACCTGGTGTGAGGACCAAGGGTGGTTCCGAAATTGTGCACATTCTGGGTTGAAATGTCCTTAAGAAGACTTTGTTCAGTGGGGGGTAGGCAGAGACAGAGATAGAAGAGAGTGAGTTTGGGATATAAGAAAGTTCATCAATAAATGTAGAAAACTGGCTAATTATACTTGGCTCTTCAGAAGCAAACAGAATGATCGTTTTTTGAAATTATTTTCTAATGAAAGAGAACCTGTTGGTGATGTTCCATTAAACAATCCTGCTGCCAAATCACCTTCTTAATATTTATGTCTATACCCATAGATTTGCACTGCTTTCAACTTTGGTCAGAGATATTCTTGTTTTTGTTTGTTTGTTTTGTTTTGTTTTGTTTTGCAGCAAGAAATGGTTAATGCAAGGAACTCATAACTGGTCAAAGAGCTGAGAATAGCAACTGTGAGTGCTCAACTGTGCAGAATCATCTATTCAGCCTCCCTCCATCAAAGCTCAGAGAATACCGTGGAAGAGCAGGCAGAAGAAATGTAAGATCTGGAGGAGTGCTGGGGAACGCTGTCTTTTAGACATGACATGGCTGGTGCACACATCAACTCCCAGCAGCTCTAGTTGACTGCACAAGAACAAGACAGTCAAAAGCCCAGCATAGTCGGGTAAAAGGCTCAAAGCCCACCCGTGGCTGAGGTGCTACTGGCAGCTGATAGCTGACGAGGGAGGGTGAGTCACTTTTCATTGATGACATGACCATGTGCAGCTTGTCTATGCCATGTTGGATGGCCCTACATTCATACATTTAGGGTCAACACTAATTAGACTTGGAGAGTAATGAATAATAACAATAATTTTTAAAGAGGACATGGGTTGAAGGATAGTGATTTGGTTGATACCAGGAAGAATTGGAGCAAGTAGTAGGGGATGGATAAGATCAAAGTATGTTGTATGCATGTAGGAAATGTTTAAAGAATAAATATAAAATATTAGGTTTTAAGAAGCAAAGACTATAGGCTCAAAGAAGAAAACGGACCCCTAAATAGCTATCTTAGACCCCCACTTTGTTCTGATATTGTGATATCTTAACAACATCTTAGTTTCTTTAAACGATGAACTTTAATTGGGCTAACTTTCCCCCATTGCTGCAAGGTAGGTCCCCCAGAGAACACACGGACATTCTTAAAGCTAAACAGAAAGTCTGTGGCTGCACAGAGAACTTGCCCAAGTCACACAGCCTTGAGCCTCCCCATTCTTTTTCTTTTATGCACAAAAAACACATCCTGGTTGACACACTTCAGTTAGCAAGAGCAGTTAGCAAGAAGCAAAACCCAAAAAGCAGGACTGGTACGCTTAAGGACCTTCCTGGAATCCAAAACTGTGGGCTAGGTCTCTGATGGATTAGGTCTTTGTTTCTATTTGGGCAGGTGTTGAGGCCTTCGTGCTGGGATTTCAGATTAGAATGCTGCCTCCAACATGGCGTTAGTTGTGCTGAAGTCTGGGGGCCTGTTACATCACAAGGAATAACAAAGATAAATAACTTATCCAAATATTTGAAATCTAAATCTAAACTTCTTTAAATTCCCAGAACTTACCTGTCTTCATCTAGCAGTACTTAATGAGAAAGTTGCATTTAGTAAGACAATAAATTAACAAGTTTAGAAGAATCAAGTTCATAGTCAGAGCAAGAATGTGAAGTCATGTCTCTGTCCCCTCACTGCTGACCAGAGGGTTGCTATGATTTCAAGGCCAGCCTGGGCTACATAGCTCTGAGCCAGCCTGGACTACAGTATAAAACTGTGTCTGAAAACAAAACAAAATGTGAAAGGATGCCAATATCATAATGAGCACATATTCACTGCCAGTACACTGTTGTATTTCATGCCTATAGTAATCCCAGCATAATACAATCAAATAAAGACTAAAATCAGAAAAAATTCCCCATTCCTGTGTGAAAGAATCCAGAGATGGCTACCCCTATTTGTAGTCAACACTGTGAACAAATAAACAAACAAACAAAATACCCAGCTACCAGACCATGAGCCACTACATGTGATCACATGCTGGCCTCAGTGTAAAGCTCTGATGTCATACATTTGCCCAGTCTCAAGCAGCTCTGTGCCTTGTTGACCCTGCTGTTCTAGCTTCATTTGTATTGCTGTGATATAATAACATAATAAGACACAATTTAGGGAGGAAAGGCTTTATTTGACTTACTATTCCAGGTTGCAGTCCATTATTGCAAGGAAGTCACAGTGGCAAGAGCCTGACACCGCGAGCTGGAGAGATG